GCTCGGCAAACACTCCGAGAGATTCTGCGGGCGTCTGGGGGTATATACGGGAGATTGTACGAATGAACAAGCGAGCAGGACGCAGATATAAGCTCATACAAGGAAGCACATGCATGTGCCCGTTTGAGCAAGCAGCGTGAGGCCGCGCCTCTCAAGATCTGCAGAACTCGGGTTCGCGTGAAGAGCTTCATGTTTGCAACTGGTCGTGGCGAGTTTGACTAGCTATCGCACCATGCCACGCGCCAAGGACTCCCAAAAAGCATTTGATTTGGATCCGACGCAATTGGGTCGTGGAAGCTTGTGTTCCATCCAAGCTCGTCTAAAGTCTGTTCGCACGTGCCTGTTGCGTGCAAGATCCCTCAATCTTGCAAGCGACAATAAGGATCACAGATGGGCGGAGGCTTAAGAAAAGCGCAGTTCTTGTTAGTAGGGCCACGGGGGCGACGGAAAGGTTCAAGAACAAAAGGAAATCGTCGAGGTTGACCTCTCGGGGCTCTCTTGGGGCGCTTCTTTTAAGCCTCTTGGGGCGGCTTCGGAGCTTCCTCACCAACGCTGCGGCTGGCTCGAAGCATTACGGCAAGGCGTCCCGCCCCGCGAACGGCAGCACGTGTCCAAGTAGGGCGAAGGCCGCTCGGACTGCAGAGCGGATCACAAAACCTGCATTCTGCGGCTCGGCAAACACTCCGAGAGGTTCTGCGGACGTCTGGGGGTATCTACGGGAGATCGTACGAACGAACAAGCGAGCAGGACGCAGATATAAGCTCATACAAGGAAGCACATGCATGTGCCCGTTTGAGCAAGCAGCGTGAGGCCGTGCCTCTCAAGATCTGCAGAACTCTGGTTCGCGTGAAGAGCTTCATGTTTGCAACTGGTCGTGGCGAGTTTGACTAGCTATCGCGCCATGCCACGCGCCAAGGACTCCCAAAAAACATTTGATTTGGATCCGACGCATTGGGGTCGTGGAAGCTTGTGTTCCATCCAAGCTCGTCTAAAGTCTGTTCGCGCGTGCCTGTTGCGTGCAAGATTCCTCAATCTTGCAGGCGACAATAAGGATCACAGATGGGCGGAGGCTTAAGAAAAGCGTAGTTCTTGTTAGTAGGGCCACGGGGGCGACGGAAAGGTTCAAAAACAAAAGGAAATCGTCGAGGTTGACCTCTCGGGGCTCTCTTGGGGCGCTTATTTTAAGCCTCTTGGGGCGGCTTCGGAGCTTCTGCACCAACGCTGCGGCTGGCTCGAAGCATTACGGCAAGGCGTCCCGCCCCGCGAACGGCAGCACGTGTCCAAGTAGGGCGAAGGCCGCTCGGACTGCAGAGCGGATCACAAAACCTGCATTCTGCGGCTCGGCAAACACTCCGAGAGATTCTGCGGGCGTCTGGGGGTATATACGGGAGATTGTACAAATGAACAAGCGAGCAGGACGCAGATATAAGCTCATACAAGGAAGCACACGCATGTGCCCGTTTGAGCAAGCAGCGTGAGGCCGTGCCTCTCAAGATCTGCTGAACTCTGGTTCGCGTGAAGAGCTTCATGTTTGCAACTGGAAGCTGAATTCTGAGGGGGCCCTGGAAGGTGGAGGAGGAATAGGACTGAGAGGAGTGCGGAGGATGGGTTTGTGTAGGGATGTGAGTTTGTTCCCCCTTTTGCCACCGCGCCCCCGCCACACACCCACAGAAGCGCTACACGATAGAAGCTCCGTATAGCATAGCCGCTGCAGGAGACAGGTGCTGCAAGGCCGGCGCACTGGAGGAGGTGCGTCCCCGCCCGACTCCTCTCCGCCCCGAAGGTCACATGGAAAAGCTGTGCAGGACAGCACCCTTGTGGAGGGGGTAGTCTATCGCGATCTTGAAAGTAGCCAGCGGCTTGCTTCGGATCGCCGCAATCGCGGCGGCCGTCCGCTGCGGCAGGGGTCGTTCCGCTGCCGCGGCCGCGGGCACCGCCTGCCGCCGCCCGCTTGGGCGGGAAGCACGGCGCGGGCACCTCCTCGACCGCCGGGCCGCGGTCCTGGAAAGCGGCCATCACCGGTCGCTTCACGCCCACTGCATCGAGAGCACGGACAAAAGGCAAATTCACGGGGTCGCGGATGTGGTTGACCCGGCCGCTGGCCCACCTGACGGCATTGGTCACCGGGCCCTAGTCCGTGGAGACCGCCACCCTCATGGCGAGTCGCACCGCTCCATGCGGCCATGGGAGTACATCCACTTCGTCAACTGGCTCTGTCAGGTTCGAAAGGAAAAGGGTGACTTCTGTTGGAATTGCGTTCGCCACTGCCCAGATCCCAACTCCATCCGCCTCGTAGGTGTTGGCAACCATTCCCCGCGAGCCTAAGATTTCCGGATGCTCAAGCTCAAGCAGCCACGCTTGAGCCAAAATGGCTTGAGCCAAAATGGCTACGGACCGTTTTGGGGGGCCTCTTGGGACCCTCTTGGGCCGTCTTGGGGCGGTCTTGGGGGCCTCTTGGGTTGTCGTCAACGCCGTGAAAGCCGAAAAGCCGTATATGCGAAAAATGCACGTTTTCATATGGAAAATCATTGATTTGGGTCTCTTGGGGCCCTCTTGAGGCGCCCCTTGGGCGCCTCTTGGGGGCCTCTTGGGGGCCTCTTCGGCCGTCTTGGGCGGTCTTGGGCTCTCTGGGAGCGCTCTTGGGCCGTCTTGGGGAGGAACCGGAAAAACATGCAAAAACCCGAGGGAAAACCCGAAAACGGCCATTAACACTCATTCCCCCGCCCTACCCCCCTCCCCTGGAACCCCTCCCTTTAGGGCTTCGCCCACACCAGAACGTCATCACTCGTACCTTGCTCTTTCCGTGACCTGGCCCGGCACAGAAACGGAAAGAGCGCTTCAGAAAGAGAAACCAAAATTACTCACACCACCGTTCGTGCTGGGAGCCTTTGCGTTGAGAGCTTGTTACGTCACCCCTCGCTCTTGGGAGATTGGTGTTCAGAGATTGTTGCGTTGCCGCCCGTTCCTGAGCCTTGGCTGGGCCTTGGTGTCAGGAACTTGTTACGTCACCGCTCTCTGCCGGGAGCCTTGGCCTTATCAGCTTGTTTGCGTCACCGTTCGCTCGTGGGAGCCGTGGTGTGAAAAGCTTTTTGCGTTACCGATCGCTCTTTATTTGGCGTCTCTGGGCCTTTTTGGGGGTCATATTGGGGCCCTTTTCGGGCCCTTTTGGAGGCCTCTTGGGAACCTCTTGGGGGCCTCCTGGGGCTTCTCGGGGGGCTCTTGGGGCCTCCTGGGAGCGGCTTGGGGCGAAAGGCTAGACTTTTCGGTTCGTGGTCCCCCTCTTGGGGCCGTCTTGGAGCCCTGTTGGGCCGTCTTGGGCGCCTCTTGGGCCGGCTTGGCGCCCTCTTGGGCCGTTTTGGGGGCCTATTGGGAGCCTCTTGGGCCGTCTTGGGGCGGTCTTTGGGGCCTCTTGGACCGTCGTCAACGCCGTGAAAGCCGAAAAGCCGTATATGCGAAAAATGCACCTTTTCCCATAGGAAATCAATGATTTTGGCATCTTGGGGCCTTCTTGGGACGCCCCTTGAGCGCCTCTTGGGGGCCTCTTGGGGGCCTCTTGGGCCGTGTTGGGCGGTCTTGGGCTCTCTTGGAGCGCTCTCGGGCCGCCTTGGGGGGGAATGCAAAAAAACAATCAAAAACCCGAGGGAAAACCCGAAAACGGCCATTAACGCCCATTCCCTCGCTCTACGCCCCCCCCTGGACCCCCCCCTCGGCATCACTCATACCTCGCTCTTTCCGTTACCTGGGGCCGGCACGGGAACGGAAAGAGCGCTTCAGCAACCTGCCCGAGATGGCTCATGGCACCCTTCGCTCTTTGGAGCCTTGGTGTTAAACCGCTCTCTGTTGGGAGCCCTGGTGTTCAGAGACTTTTACATTGCCGCCCGTTCTTGGGCCTTGGTGTCAAGAGCTTGTTGCGTCACCGCTCGTTCTTGGGAGCCTTGCTTGTAAGCGCGTGTTACGTCGCCGCTCTCTGTTGGGAGCCTTGCTGGGAAGATCCTGTTGCGGCACCGCTCTCTGTTCAGAGTCCTCGTGCCCAGAGATGCTTACGTTGCCGCTCGCTCTTGGGAGCCTTGGTGGTAAGAGCTTGTTGCGTCACCGCGCGCTCTTGGGACCCTTGATGTGACAAGACTTTTACGTTGCCGCTCGCTCTTGGGAACTTTGGTGTTGAGAGTTGCCTTGCCGGTAAGAGCGTGCTACGT